TGTTCCACTGTGAAGTCAGAGCAAGTTGGGAGTGGGTGAGGGTTTGTGGGGAAGAGGGGAGACTGTCACTGGATCAGAACATGCCAGCAGACGGGGCGCTCAGAAAATCCTAGGAGATTCGCAGTACTGGTTTATCCAAGTCAGGAGGGACAGCTCAGAACAGTAGGATCAAGGAAAGAAGGGTGCTGGCCAGACTGGGCTGGGCCGAAGAGCAAAGGCCGGGCTCACAGGGCCCCTTGGCCTCTTGCCATGTAGGGGACAGTAGGGGACTTGAGAACAGGAGTGGGTGTAGGTGTGCAGCAGGTGTGGTCTCTGAGAGATCCACGGGGCACCACCCCGCCTCTGAGCTGTTCAGTGGTACACGGCCCTGCCTTTTCACCACAGTTCTGAGAGCCTCTAGGGTTCACCTGCCCATACACCAAGGAAGCTCTGAAAGCATTTGCTGTTTTGTTCATTCATTTATTTATTTTAGTACTGGGGATTGAAATCAAGCCTTCCCACTGAGCGATACCCCAGCCCTTATTTTTTATTTTTTATTTTGAGACAGGGTTTCACTAAGTCATTAGGTCGCTCAGGCTGGGCTTTAACTTTGGATCCTTCTGCCTCAGGCTCGCAGAGTGCTGGGAGGGCCAGTCCGTGTCATATTTCTGCTTCTAAAAGCATTCTCAATGCGAAGCCACAGTTCCTCTACAGCGGGCACTTTTTACTTCACATCTGTGCATCTTTTTAGTATGTGTTAACTGAACTGACAAAGGCTGCATGTATATGAGACAGGGAGTAATTTTCCAGTTTCCAAACCCTAAGGTTCCCCTCTGGCTGATTTTCTTGTACTGTGGATGTGGTGTGAGGTGGAGTTGATGTCTTTTATCTGAGGTTTTGCTTTCTGCAGTTTCCGCTGCCATGGGCGGTTGTGATCTGAAAATGCGCCATGGAAAATTCCAGAAATAAAGTTTTTAAATTTTTAATTGCATGCTTTTCCCAGCTGCCTGATGGACTCCCTGTGCTCACTCATGCTGGGGATGCAGCCATCCCTTTCCCAGAGTTTCCACACTGCACATCCCGCCCTGCTGCTGGCCACCCAGGAGCCTGGTCATTTTCCTGTGGACTGGCACACAGAACCGTACATCCACACAGTGCAGGATTTTAGCCCATTGTATGTGGCTGCAAGCTCCGTGGCTCTGTGACTGAGAAGAGCTGCTCACCTCAGGGTGGCCTCTCAGGGTGCAAGAAGGGCGGAGCCAGGGGAGAGAGAGAGAGAGAGATTCACACACAGCCCTGCCCCAGTGACCGCCTCCTCACAGTAGGCTCCACCCAGGTTCCTGCCTCCTATTACAGGCCCTGCCCCAACCCTGCCTCCTCCCAACAGTCCCCATCCCATCCCACCCTGCCTCCTAAGGTCCCGCCTCCCAACAAGGCCCCTGCCCACCCACAGTACCCAGGCCTTGTCCCGCCCCACCCCTAAGGCTCCACCTCCTAGCCCAAGCCCCACCTCCCAAAGCCCCACCTCCTAGCCCAAGCCCCCAGTAGACTCCTGAGTGTGAGTTCTGCGCCCCTCAGTCCACTCGCCTCATCTAGGCGGGGCCTGTGTGCCTCCCCTGGGAGGCCGTCTGGTGCACCTGACCCTCACCTTACTGGGGCAGTGGTGCAGGCAAGTCGCTGCTGTGTGCGGGTCTCTCCCTGCGCTGGCCTGGCACTAAGGCCTGTCTCCGCAGGTCAAGACAGGAAGCGCTTAGTGTGTGTGAGCGCACACCCGGGGCTGCACCCCTGCAGACAAGGATGCTGTGCAGGGCCTTGGAGCTTAGCAAGCAAAGTACAGCGGTGTTCCATTCTTACACATTATGTCCCTTATGTGCAATGGCTTCTTATTTTATTTTTCTTACTTCTTGTAGCATATATACATTTTTGTTTTGTTTTGTTTCTTTGAGACAGGGTATCCCTTTGTGGCCCAGGCTGGCTTGAAACTCACAGTGATCCTCCTGCCTCAGCTTCTGAGTGCTCGGATTGCTGGTCTGCCCTCCATACCTGGGATAGGACCGTGTGGCGTGGTGAGGATGTATGATGTATAGAGTAGCAAAGGCTGTCTGTCTGTCTTCAGAGAGTGCTGCTCTGTGACCATGGATAATGCTCTGTGAGCCTGCAGATGGCGTGTGGGTTGTTGGTTATTCCGCTTCCAGAGAAAAACGACGTAGTCAGGACACCTGTTTTTCTGCTTTAGTTCCATAATCATTTTGTCAAATATCATTTCTCCAGTTCTGAACAGCACTGTGTAAGAGTTGGGTGGATGGTGTGCAGTTGGCACGGCCTCCCCAGCTCTGGGTACGGCTGTCAGTTTGTGTGCAGAGAGCAGATGTGGGCAGCTCAGAGCCCGGCTGTATCTCCAGGAGTTTGTTTGCTGATTGTGTCATAATCTGAATTTTGCCCCAGAGAGTAAGAGCTGGTTCAGTGTCAGACAGTGGTCATCATTTGCAATTTAAATGTCAAAGAAAAATGGGTAGAGTCCCCTGACTCAACCGCCCACTGAAACCGCCCACCGAAACTGATGAGGTCCCCCAGTCCTGCCTTGCCCTCTATTGATACCGATACCAGATACCACAGGGACTTCCCTGGTGCTGTGGCCATGTAGTCTTGTGTTACAGCAGGATAGGAGACACAGGAGCTTCAACCTGATCAAATTGGACCAGGAAGCTGGTTGTGGTGACCAATACCACAGCTACTCAGGAGGCTGAGGCAGGAGGAATGTAAGTTTGAGCCCAGCCTGGGCAATTTAGCAAGACTTTCAAAATAAAAAGGGCTACCAGGAATGGTGGCACATTCCTGTAATTCCAGCACTCAGGAGGCTGAGGCAGGAGGATCTTTGCAAGTTTGAGACCAGAAAATAAGTAAATAAAAAAAATAAAAAGGGCTCAGGGTGCAGCTCAGTGGTAGAGTGCCCAGGGTCATCCTCAGTACTGCAGGACAGACAAAGTAGACTCTGATCTTAGGAAGCCATGAAGGGGCTGGGCTGGTGTGAGGGTGAAGTGGGGGAGGAGCTGGGTGGGCTGGGTGTCCCTTGCCCGACGGCATCGCCCCCTGGGTACCTCTCTGGCTCGGGTCTCTGCAGCCTCTGAGTCACTGGGTTTTCCTGTTCCTCCCCCAGGTTACCACCATGACGCAGCCTTTGATTTCCCCACCCCGCTCTCTGTCCTGAACTCTGTGGGGCTTTTGGGCCGAGCTGTCCCTGCTGTCATTTCCCTTTCGGTCTCTTCTGGCTCCTGTCTGTCGGGTCTGTCTGACAGTGTTCGGTCTTCCTGAGACCTCCTCTCTGATCTCTAGGCTTGCAGCGTGGAAGGGAGGCTGCGTTTGGCAGAGGTCTCCCTGGAGAGGTAACCCCCCTGGACCCAGGCTTGAGGCACACTCCCCAGGGACCAAGCCATGAAGCAGTGCTGCGCAGATGGAGTGGGCGCTCGCCCAGGCTGCTGCTGAGGGCCAGGAGCCCCTGCCCGCTGCCCTTGCCATGGTGCTGCCTGCAGAGCTTATCCACCAGGTGGAGGAGGCGCTGGATGAGGAGGAGAAGGAAGCACTGGCCTTCCTGTGCCGTGATGTCGCTGTGGACCTGCCGCCCAGCAGCGCCCGGGACCTGTTGGCTGCGCTGAGTGAGAGAGGCCAGCTGACCTCTCTGGGTTTGGCTGAGCTGCTCTACAGGGTGCGACGCTTTGACCTGCTCAAGCGAGTGCTGGGAATGGATCGGGTGGCCCTGGAGTCGCACCTGCGCAGGCACCCCGGCCTCGTGTCCAGCTTCAGGTGACAACAGCATCCCCATGAGATGGGTGGGGGGTGGGTACTAGGAGGACAGTGGAGAGAGCAGCCTCTTGCTTCCTCTTCTCCTGCCTCAGCAGCTGGCTGATATCCAGGATGGCCTTGAGCTCACCACGTTGCCCAGGCTGGTCTCAAACTCTAGATCCCCCTGCCTCAGCCTCCTAGTGCTAGGATTATTGGAGGCCAGGAAGTGGCAGGCTTTTGAGTTCTCAGGCCACTCTTGCTTGGAGGAAATGGGTAGAAGATTGTTAATGAAAGGGGAAGGGAAGATGGTATGTGTTTGCCTCAGGGACAGAATGACAGGAAGAAACACAGGCACAGCTGAGAGCAGGACTTCTTGCCGGCCCTACAGTGTGGCCGGGTGTGCCGGCTCATTCTCGGTGACTCAGTCACTGTGAGTTCCCAGCACCGAGGAAGGAAGTCTGACAGTGTCTTCTATCTTGTAGAATTCTGCAACCCCGAGTCCCCACTGGCCCTTGCTCCTCAGCTGCCCACCCTCAATTCCATGGCCCTGAAATGCTCCTTCTCCCGCTTCCTGTGGCATCCACCTGGGTGGGTCAGGACTGGAGGAGACCTGTCCCTCGGTTGTGGGTCTCTCCACCTCCCGTAATTCTCTCTGTGGCACATCCCGCCAGCCTGGAGAAATTGTACCACTTGACACCTTCCTGGTGGAGGCCAGGTGGGGAGCTCTCTGGGCCCTGAGCTCTGTGCCCAGCCGCCATCTGCTGGGGTGGCTTGCGTGATTCCAGTCCCTGAGTCTGCTGGAAAATGGGCTTCCCAGCACAGTGACAGCACTCTCCCGGGAGTGCCACTGAGGGGGTGGTGGAGGCGGCCAGGCAGAAGAGTGTCCAGGCTGGCTGAAGGCCCTGGTATGGTTCCAAGTGTTTCTTGGCTTTACACTCTTGTGATCCACAGTGTGTCCCTAGCTCCCTGAGAGGACAAGGCCCAGGAGAACTCTGTCTTTTGACTTAGTCCCATGGGTCCTTTGTTTATTTGTGGAACTCTTGGGGGCGAGGGGACTTCTGTCCTGTGAGTCATTTTCAGAGCTCTGATTGGAAGGAGAGGGGAGGAGCAGGTCTCCTGCCAGAGTCCCCATGAGGTCTCTCTCTGGGGCCAAGACTCCCAGCGACTGGGGACCCACTGCTTGGCACGGGTGCTGGTGTAGGTGTGGGTGCAAGCCTCCTGATGGGGTCTGTCCACCTCAGGGTTCTGATGATGGAGATTGGCGAGGACCTGGACAAGTCCGACCTGTCTGCACTGACTTTCCTCATGCGGGACTACACCGGCCGCGGCAAGACAGCCAAGGGTAAGGTGAGTTTCCTCTCTGAGGCCCGGACTAAAATAGTTTGAGATGGTCACAAACATAGAACAGGATTTTTCTCTGAAATCCTTTCCCCGTGACCTGTGCTTCCCCTTTTTCTGGGGAAGTCCTTAGAGTTTTCAGTTCAGCCACAGTCTGGGTTTGAAAGAGCTCTACCAGGTGACACAGCCCGGATCTTCCCTGGCCTAGCCAGTGTCCAAGAGTGTGAGTGGAGGGTCGTCTGCTCAGAAGGACCCTGCTGTGGCTCATGAGGCCGAGTTTCTTGCTGCTGTGACTCATGAGGCCCCGAGCTTGTGCTGGGGTCACTCGCCCCACTGACATTTTTTTTTTGTCTTTTCTTTTTTATCGGTACCAGGGATCGAACTCACGACTGCCTTCTTGCAAGGCAGGTGCTTATGCTGCTGAGCTAAATCCCCAGCCCCTCCCCACTGACATTTGCTTCTTGTTGGTGGCTCCCATAGAGTTTCTTGGAACTTGTGATTGAATTGGAGAAATTAAATCTGGTTGCTCCAGATCAATTGGACTTATTAGAGAAATGCCTAAAGAACATCCACAGACTAGACCTGAAGAAAAAAATCGAAAAACACAAGCAGTCTGGTAAGAAGCCCTTCAGCCTCTCAGGAGCGCAAAGCAGGCGCTCTGCACGGGGCTGGCCATTTAAGTCGGCTGAGGGGAGGTGGGCGGGATGCAGGGAATGCAGCCCATGTCCCCAGCGCCTCAGCCGAGGCTTCCATCCTGGCCCTTTACGTGCCCCAACCTTGCCGTCCCGAGCATTCGGCCTTTCAGAAGAGTGGTGTGCGAAGCTGGCGAAGCTGTGGACTCTTAGGGCATTAGTGTGTTGGGTACCACTGCCCAGCTCCGTGTAGTTGGCCTCGAGACTGGCATCCAGCTGTGGGTGGTGTCTGTCGCCAGGTTCCATTGCCACCCTGTATGCTTTGAGTGTCATGAACCCACTCCCACCAAAGGGTGCCTGTGACTCCCCGGTGTCCCTCCCTCCGCACTCCGCTGCCTCAGCGTGGGCTGTCAGCCATCACCAGACGCTGGTGGGTGCAGGCCACGGGGACTGCGGACCCCCAAGCCCCGGCTGGCGTGTTTCATCTACTCTCAGTGTGGCGGAGGAGCCCTCCGACACTGAATTCACTGACGGGGGGAAGACTGGCTGAACTTGCACTGAACCGTTGTTGAAGGTTCATTTGATAATAATTTATAAATCTTAACTCAGTAGCTGTCTTTTGCTTTTGTAGTTCAAGGAGCACAAACGAGTTACATGAATTCCCTCCAAGCCTCTTTCCCAAACCTGAGTCTCACAGAGCTTTCACAGAACTTAAGGGTGAGTGTGAAGCAACCACCTGGAATCCCAGCATGAAACGGTTTCACAGCTTCTGTAAAAATAGTCTCACGGAACGTACTTTAACTGAGAAAATTGTGTCAGGAATCTATTTTTAAAAACATGTATAATTTCCTGTTGTGCCAAAATTAATAAACGTTTGCTGAGCTTGGTGAATAGTTTTTGTTGTGAGTGATGAAACAAGACGTTTTTCATTGGTGAACATAAATGTCACACAGTGGCTGATGGTTTTGTTGGCTGTGGGTAGTACAAGGGACCATCCGAATTGTCGTGTGGTTAATCTTTTGAGAAGAAGGCGTTGGTGTGCTAGTGTCCTCCCCCTGTGTAAGGCGGAGTGAGATTTGCAAGGAGTAGGGCTTCACGGTTACATTATAAACGCGGTCACAGAAGCAGGTGACGAGACCTTACCTCCTCCTCCAGCGTGAAGCTTGGAGAACCAGAGGCTGAGTGACAGGGTCCTGGAGGGGCTCCGGGGCTCAGGGCGGAGTGAGGCTGCCGGCCCTGCCCCTGGCCCTGGCCTGTGGGAGCACCGTCCTGCTGAGGCGCGACGCGCTCAGACTGAGGCAGGTGCAGGACGCAGGCCCAGGTTCCCGCTTCTTCTCTGTCTGCCGTGCCGAGTAGGCCTGCTGCATTTGTGCTGCTGTTTCTGTTTTTACACGGAGGTGAAAATGCTCACTGTGGACAGCTGTCTGAGCCCTTGTGCTTCGTGCACCTGTTTCTCCTTAAACTTGCTCGCTCTGTTTAGTATGTGATGCTGACCATCCATTTATTTAGTAAGCAGGCACAGTGGTTACAAACTTGGTGACTGTCTCACAAGTTTTAAAAGCTGAATACCTGTGTGTTAACTCACAGGAGACTGCAGAAATGCTTCAAAAATTGCTTTGGACCTGGTGTGGTCACACACATCTACGGTCTCATCACCTGGGAGGCTGAGGCAGGAGGATCACTACCCTCGCCTGGGCAATTTTGCAACTTAGTGAGATCCTGTCTCAAAATAAAAAGATTAAAAAGGGCCGAGAATGGTGCTCACTGTGGAGGCTCTGTGTTAATACCTGGTATGGAAAACAAATTGTGATGGCATTAAATGCCACAAACACCAAAAGATTCTAGAAAAAGTTGCATGATTAAAATATGCTTCTGAAGTGTATCTTTGGTTTGCTTTTCTGTCTGTTTAACAGTATTTAAAAGTGACTGAACCCTGTGGGAGAACAGTTTTTGCCTAATATGATCAGCCTCCAGCTAGGTCACAGTTACTGCTGCAAAAACTGCTTATGTGTCTCTCTGTGACGCAGCTGCTCGCTGACACCAGGTACCTGTCCCTTTCTTGGGCGAGTGGCTTCAGAGGAGCCTAGCGGGTCACACGGGTGGCATTGTGTGGCTAGTGACCCTTGTACAGGGCCTGTCAGGTGAGAGGAGACAGGGTCAGCCTGTCCCCCCACTCTGGTCTCCAGAAGTGGTCATTGAGAGGTTGCAGTTGTCAGGAGTTGGCCCAGATGATGGGGCAGGTGAAGCTAAGTACTAGAGAAGTGTGGAAGCTGTACCTTGTTTTTTAAAGTACTGGGGATTGCACTCATGACCTCGCCATTGTCAGGCAATCCCTTGAGCCTCTGAGCTAAATCCCTGGCCCCAAAGCTGGAAGTTTTTGAGGGACTTTGTGTGCTTGCTCCTCATGGTGCTGAGTGATTGTGGTTGGAAGGGACGAGAGTCTGCTGGCACTGTCCTGCTCTGATGTATAACACCTGGCTCACGGTGCCCCACCTGGTGTGTCCAGTCCGGAGCGCCTGGTCTCGGTCGCCACCTTCTGCCCTTCAGTGCGGCCTCATAGACTAACTCCTCCTTGGTTCAGTGATCATGGCTCCCTGCGCCACACCGCCTGGCTTCATCCTGAGGCTCTGAGGCCTTCTGATGTGACAGTTCAGCATTTTACCCTTTCTTTCTGTTTGCGTTTTGAAAATCATTGCCTCATTCTTTGGCTGCGGGGTGTGGGCTGTACAGAGTCAGCAGTGTACTGACCTTTAGACGACTTAACCTTCTTTCCTGGGAAGAAAGCCACTGAGCTATTTAAGAGGTGTGCTGTCATGTCTCTCGGAGGAAACTGACCAGTGCCACCTTATTCTTTGTATTTGAAGCTGCAGAACGGGAGGAGTACAGGACAAGGACTGGAGACACCACGTCAAAGTAAGAACGATGATCTTTCTGTCCATCTTCATCAGTGTTGAGTGATTCCGCTACAGCACCTGCAGCTGTACGGTTGCCTGTCCCCTTCCTCTGCCTATTACAAGGCAGTTAACCCTGAAGAGTATTCAGGGTGTGTCTGTCACCCCCCTGAATTAGCTCATTTAAATTTGGAGGCGTCTCTCCTCAGGTGGTCACCTGGGCTGGACAGTGCTATCCCTGACCTGGAGCCACACCCAGCCCTGTGTAACAGGAATCCAGCCCCATCCTAAACTTCGTTTAACTGATTATCTAGCAGCTGGAGGAAGATTCATAGGTCCTCACTTCTTAGTTCATCTAATAAAAGTAGGAACCCTACAGAAGACATCCTCGTGCCCCTAAAAGAAAGAGAAATACAAAGTCATCCTCACCCTGGTTGTCCTCATCTCCATGGCCCTGTGGTGTCCCAGCATGGCGTTGTCCTTCAGAGGCTCCTCCTTCCTCATCCTGAGGCCTCTATAGTATCACTATAGTCCTACAACTGACTTAGCTCATTTCGTATTTGTGAACTTTTAGGTTCTTTGTAGTCTGGAGCTTTACAGTCATTCAGTAGGTCTCTTTTTATTTTTATATTTTTAGTAGGTCTATTTTTATTTTTATTTTTTTAGTAGGTCTCTTTTTAGCAGAGGTTCTTGAGACAGAGATTCCCTGTGTAGCTTGGGGTGGCTGAGATCTTCCTGCCTCAGACTCCGGAGCTGAGGTTCAGTAGCTTTCTGGACATGCGTTTTCCCACTGCTACTCTAGAATTTCCTAAGCTCCGGAGGCAGAATGCTGGCTCAAAGGAGTGTGCCCTGCACAACGAAAGATGGTTGCAGCTAGTTTGGATCTGAAAGTGCTCGTTTTCCCCAAGCCTTACCCATATGGAAATTTCCTTTGCCTATTTTTAGACATTATTTTTCATTTTGCAACAGTCTCATAAGGCAGTAAAAAGCTTTCTGTTTAGAGATTACTAAGCCCCAGAGAAGAGGGTAATGGAGACGGCAGCCAGAGTGCACACTGAGAGCCGGTCTGCGTGGCCCTGCGAGCTGACGAAGGCATTTTCCTCCAGCCTGGTGTCCTGTCTTGACATGGGCCATGTATTTTGCCATCTCCCTGTGTCCCTGGGTACAGAAACCCTGGCCATCTGCTCTGAGAGCAGGGAGCACCTGTGAGCACCTCTTCTCGTGATGGTGGATATGTAGGAAGCCGGCAGTTTTGTCAGCCAGGGCAATTCCTGAATTCTCCTGTTGGCTCAGAAACTGCTGCAATTCCACAGAGAAGAGTGAGGGTGAGGCCTGCTTCCCTGCTATAATGCGGCTCCTCTACCCAGCCCTGCACAGTGCCGGCCCCTGGGGTTGATTGGTGGACTGAATGGTTATTGCAGAGACAGGTTCTGCCTGGCCTTGAACTCACTGTGTAACCCAGGCCGGCCTGGAACTTGAGGCGATCCTCCTGACTCAGCCTGCTGAGTGTGGGGATTGCAGGCTGTGCTGAAGTTGTTGGGAAGAAGAGATTAAGAGAGGAGGCGGGAGACAGCTGCGGTATGAAGAGCAGCCGTGGCCGAGCTTGACTCCTTCTCGCTCTGCCACGGCGCTTTCTTTCTCTCCCCAGAACCCACGAAGATGCCCATCCAGGAATCCGGAGCCCTCTCTTCTCAGGTGCGGAATAAAGGAGCTGATTCAGTTTTGTGTTGTGTGCTGTGTCCGCAGGGCAGTGAGCTCTGACACAGACTGTCGGTGAGGAAGTCCTTGCCGGCACAACACCTGCTTGGCTTCTCAGAGGGCTCCTTTGGTGGGCACGTTGAATACTGTCCAAGTAGCTCGTGGTTAGGGATGGAGGTGGTGGGTTCTGCGGCATCTCTGCCCCTCGCTGAGTCCCTGCAGAAAGTAAGCAGACACAGGCTTGTTTTGGGGGGCCCAGGCAGCAGCAGCAGCAGAGGCCCGTGTGTCCTGTTTGGGAAGAGGCCACTGTCTCTGCTCCGGGTCACAGTGGGGGCAGTTTCCAGTTGTCCCTCTGCTGCGCAGCCAAGTCTCCTATCTATTTAAGTCAGTGCGGGGACCCTGTAGCTGGTCTGTCTTCAGCACGTCACCCTAGCGGAGATTGCAGTGATGGAAGGGGCCTGAAGTGTGGCACTCGGCTAGAGGCACGGCTCACCTGCACAGGGGCACCTAGGGCCCACACAGTGGGCACTGACGGGGACCTGTAGGGTGGAGCTGTCCCTGGGGTCCTAACAGTCCTCATGTTGCCTTCTAGTATGTACCTGTGGAGAGATACCGGATGCAGAGCAAGCCCCTGGGCATCTGTCTGATCATCGACTGTGTCGGCAACGCCACAGGTAGGCGTGGACGCCGTGGGTGACCAACCCCCTCACGAGCCTGCAGTCAGGCACCTGTGCAGCTCTGTCAGGAGGCGCAGGAGAGGAGCTCAGGGAGCGCTCATCGAGGGGTGAAGGCTGGGGTTGCTGGTCCCAGTTTTCCACATGGTACAGGAGGTGGCCTGGACCCCGAGACGGCAACCCAGAAGGCCTTGAGGCTCAAGCGGCACTGTGTGGGTCTTTGCTTCACTCCCGCAGCCTGTGACAGCCTTGCTTGGGACGGTGAACCTGGCTGGCATGCGGTGTCCTGGGGGCTTGGGCGTTTTCAGTGGCGTGGTGCTCAGCTGTCTGGCCTGCACCACCAAGGGTGGCAGATAAACCCTTGCAGCCCGTGGTGATGCACATAGCCAAGGTAGCAACAACCATCGTGGGTCCACATGCAGCACCACTGTCAGGGGATCCAGGACACGACACACATGGCCTCTCTGAGCTGCAGAGCAACAAGAAGGCCCGTCCACCTCCCATGTACAACAAGGTTTTGATGCTCTACACCACACCAGAGTGGACACAGCAGGACAAGGAGGATGCCATCCCTTACAACAGCTCCTTCCAGATGGTTCTTGATGGGCCTCCAGGAAGCAGAGGCGCATGAGGAGATGGGGTTCCGAGCCCGGCCACTCGTCTTCCGCCCCCACTGTGAGGATACACGACTCCCCTCATCCTTTGCCCTGGGGTCCCACTGGCCCCGTCCCTGCCACGGCTGTGAGTGTGCAGCAGCAGAATGCAAGCAAAGGAGGAACTGGCCTGGGAATCCCAGGGCCTGAGCTACTGCCCCACCTCCTCCGCCACCACCTGCTGGGACTCGCCCAGCAAAGCCTGGGAGGAGAAAAGGTCCGAGCTGCAGACGGAGCCCCAAACCAGCAGATGCCGTCAACAAGACAAGAGCACCAAACCCAGATGCGCGCAAACTGGATAAATGGGCCCCCAGTGAGACACAGCCGCTTGGCAGACGAGACTGGGGGTGCCCACCACAGCACTTAAGCCATATCCCCATGCCAGGCTTGACACCTGAACCCCACTCCTGGAGGGTGGCGGAGGCTGCAGAGGATTTGTGGGAACAGCCTGACACCCAGGAGACAGCAGCTGGGGACGAGGACTGGGGTCCTGGTCCCTTCTCGGCCTTCTCTGCCCATAGTCAGGAGCAGAACACAGGCTGAATGTGGGAAATAAAACCTGAGCGCAGAGCAGAAGCCCACACAGGGCAGAAAGCCGGCACTGGCCCCGCCATGCTGGGGGAAGCTCCGCCTTTCCTCAGGAAAGACCTGGGGGTTACAGATTGTCTCCCTCACACGCAGCGAGGGCGGCCCCTGGGGGGAACACCTGGGCCCCCAGTCTTGGTATGGCCAGGGAGAAGCTCTGAGCACTGGACACAGCGCCAGTCCCAGCATTGTCGTCTTAGAGCCATCTAAACGGGGTGCAGCTGCTGACTTCCAGGGCAGCTCCATTAAGCAGCAGCCTAGAACCAGGGTGGGGGGTAGAGGCATGGGTGCGAACACTGACACAGCCAGTGAAGCTGAGTCCTGATGGGAGCCTGGGCCAGTGCACCCGAGAGGGTTTCCCTGTGGGCAGCAGAGTCCCAGAGCCAGACCGTGGGCCCCCAGGAGCGAACTGGAACCATTATTGGGCTGTGTTCCTCTCGTGCACTGTACCCTCACATACACATGTCTCCCTTACTGCACAGGAGCTCCAGGAAGGAGACTTAGGTCACAGGGCGCATGAGAGGCTCCTGCCCTCCTGGGAGTATGCTGTGTGCTCTAGGGTGCATAGGACAGTGACTGAAATGTCACAGGACTGGGACAGGCCCCAGGGGACACAAGAGCTCAGAGTGGTGAGAGAGGCCAGGACGGACCTGAGCAGGCATCAGCCAAGGGCACTATGGAAGGCTTTGGACACTGCTGGCTGCGCCCCAGCCAGCCTGATTAGGATGCCAGACACCTAGCACCAAGCCACAAGGGCACCTGCTTGGTGGTGACGACTCAGGTGAGCCCAGGACCCAGGAAGGAGCTGGGCCTGAATGGCCAGGCACATGGAGCTGTGGGTCACACCACTCCTTCCCTGCTGCAGACACAGGTGCGCACGCAGCCCCAGCAGGGCACTGAGCATGGGAAATGGACAAGCTGCACCGAACTCAGAGGTCATTCCACAGCCTCCACGACAGGAAGTGATTTGCTGTGAAGACAGCGCACTGTTCTTACAAGGACGTCACAGCCAAAGAGGAAAGGACACTGACCCACAGCTGAGAGGGCGGCGTTTCTCACATCCAACCAAATGGCGCACGAAACGCAGCGGGTGTGTTCACTGCTGAGAACTGAACCGAGGGCCTGCACACTGAGCTGTATCCCGTCTCTCAGGCCGTCCGTCCGTCCGTCCGTCCTTCCTTTCTTTTTCCTTTTCTTTCCCTCTTCCTCTCTTTTCTTTCTTTCTTTCTCTTTCTTTCTTTCTTTCTTTCTTTCTTTCTTTCTTCCTTCCTTCCTTCCTTCCTTCCTTCCTTCCTTCCTTCTTTCTCTCTCTCTCTTTCTCTCTCCCTCCCTCCCTCCCTCTCTCCCTCCCTCTCTCCCTCTCTCCTGAGGTGCATGGTATCCAGGACAGTGAGGACCAGCAGGTGGAGGTGGGGCTTGGGCCATGTGGGTCTCACGTGAATCACAGGTCGCCAGGATCCACTTCCAGGCTGGTCCTAGTGTGAGAGCTGTGCGTCCCAGGTGGAGGAGTCTTCAGTGTGCCACCTCTGCTGCTAGGCTGGGGGCCACTGCTGAGCCTGGGGCTGAAAGTTCTGGTGGAGCCTGTGGACAGGTCCAGCCTGTGTGAATTAAATCCAGAACACACAAGCAGGCTCTCCCTTGTCAAGTGTGTGTCAAGTGTGTCATGGGTTACTGACATAAGTGCTCCACCACTGAGCTACCTCCCAGCCCACTCTGGCTTTGAGCTTTTGATCTTCCTGCCTCAGCCTCCCAAGTAGCTGGGATTACAGGTGTGTGCCTCCGTGCCTAGCTGTCCCACCTTTTGTTTACCCCAGGTTGTTCCTCTTTTCTCTCCTTTTTTAGCCTGTTATCTTTTCCGTCTTTCCATTGAGAATCTAGAAGAGCTTGGGGTTTCTTTAATTCACTCGTGCAGTTGGCCAGTGCGGGTTGAGCTGCAGCCTGACTTGCCGTCTTGTTCCCGTCAGGCCGCCTTAGATGTTTTCCCGTGATCCCTCGGTGCGTCCCGGTTGTGGGGAGTGGTGAGGTTGTGGGATGCAGTGGACTTGCGGGTGACCGGACCCAGGATGGGAAGTGGGGCTGGCACACGCATCCAGGGCATCGCACTGAGTCTGACAGGAGCCTGGCTGGAGGGCTTGCACGTGTCTGAGCTTGGGACTGGGCGTGTATCCTGCCCAGACCTGGCAGTGTCTTCAGAAACGGACTCAGAAGAGCGAGGACCCCTTGAGGTCCTGGGCCTCGTGTTTCCCGGGCAGGTACACTCCGTGAGCTACTTCCTCAGTTGTTCACTTAGCTCTTGTTTCGAGGCAGCGTCTTGCCGTGTTGCCCGTCGGACCATGAGCCTTGCTGCTGCCTTGGCTGAGTGTGCCTGCCATGCTGGGGACCGGGTTCTACTTGGGCAGGATCAGAAGTTCTGTTCTATTAGAAGGCACACAAATTGACTCCAAGAAGGCTGTGCATCTCTCTGTGCTGCAGGAAGATGGGGACTTGCGGAAAACTGGACTCGGGGCTCTCCAGGCCCAGAGGCGTCGGTAGATGGACAGGGCAGGTTAGACACAAATGTCTGGCCATGTGCAGCCCCTCCGAGGGGTCGGTGGGGACTTGGGGCACTGTGGGTGTCTCAGGGGAAGCAGGCCGTGAGGACTGAAGGTGCCAGTGGGTGGCGCACGTTCCCTGCTTCCCTTCATGTCCCAGTCCGTGTGTCTGTCTGTCCATTGTTCTGACGGGCCTACTTTGCTCTGGCTCAGTGGAAAGCAGCTCCTTTCCTTCCAGGCATGGCAGCCCTGGCGGGCGGTGGCTGCCAGGGCCGCACCTGCTGGGGGCACCATTACACTTTGCATCTTGCTGCCACCCTTCGAGGCTCAGGTTCCCAGAGACCCAGACAGCAGAGCGGCAGCGCTCCGACGCGCTGGGACTCCAGCTGGCCTGCCAGGCTCTTCTCACTGCCGCTGTCCTCTGGGCTTGCTTCCTACAGAAGTACTTCGAGGCGCCTTCTCCTCCGTGGGTTTCAAGGTCCAGTGCTTCCTATACCTTAAGGTGGGTGACATGGTCCAGATTCTCCGCCAGGTGGCTTCCTCGCCCCAGCACCAGCACCATGACAGCTTCGTGTGCGTCCTGGTGAGCCGCGGGGACCCCCACAGGGTGTTTGGCGTGGACCTGGCCCACGAGGGGCTGCCCCTGGAGCAGGTCCGGACAATGTTCACGGGGGATGCCTGCCCTCCCCTCATTGGGAAGCCGAAGCTCTTCTTCATCCAGAGCTACCTGGTATCGGAGGCCCCTCTGGGTGCCAGCAGCCTCCCAGAAGTAGACGGGCCAGCAGTGACCAGTGTGGAGTCCACAAAACCATGGCCTCAGCCCCACGAGCTGCACCGGGAGGCTGACATCCTGTGGAGCCACTGCACGGCCCAGGCGTGCCTGCTGGAGCTGCCTGAGGCCTCACAATCCCTGTACCTGCAGGGTCTCTCGCAGCAGCTGCTGCAGGACAGGTGAGCACCAGGAGGCTGGGCCCAAAGCCTGTGAGTAGCACCACTGCTGACGTGTGCCATGTGTGATGCCCCCGGGAATCCAGGGCCTTCTCCTGGGGCTGCGTCAGGTACCGTGGAGCCTGCACAGTGTAATCAGTGTGGAGTCTGAACCTTTCTCTTCAAAATTCAGTCGTTTTAATTTCTTTCCTGTTACAATAGCAATACCCACTCCTTACAGAAAAAATCCTAACTTAGAAATGCTGCAAGGGGAATGTGATAAGCAGCTTGTCATAGCCACTTTCTCCTCGCTGAGACCAAGTGCCTGATCCTGCAGCTTAAAGGAGCAGTGGCTGGGATCATGGTTTCCATCCCCGGTCACTGGCTCACGGCAGGGGAAATCGCGGTAGAGGGTCTGGCGCAGGAGAGCCACTCACACCTCTGCAGCCAGGAAGCAGGGAGAGAGGCAAGGAACTGGGAGGGAGATGAACTCGTCCCTGCCCCAACTTAAGACTGTCAGCCTGCAGATGCAGGCGCCTCACCAAGCCCTGGCTCTGAGCCGTCTTGATCTGCACCACACCCAGCAGAGCCAGCCGTTGACTCTTGTCCCAGTGTACTGCCTGCCATTCTCCTGCGGAAAGGACTTTGCATCCTGTTTCCTGTTGTTCCCAGGAGGGGCACTGTGTCCAGAGGTGCCACACCCCAAGCCTGCTGCACTCCACTGGCCCGTCCTGCAGCTGTGGTAGCAGCTACCTTGCTTGGGCTGTGTCCCAGCAGCCTCGCTGTGTGTTAAGAGCTGGCCAGTCACTCGAGTGGTTGAAGTGATGTGTGCTGTCCAGGCCTGTGTCCCCATAGTGAAGATGCTGTCAGCTTTCTGATGTTTATGGCAGGAGAGCTTTTCCGAGGGGATTACAAGCCTCCTGCTGTCCAGCTGGGCGGGTGCAGTCTCTCATGGATGGTGGATGGCTAACCCTTTCAGTGGCCCCCAATCATCTCTGAGCCCTTGTCAGGCACATTCTGGGTGTGGCTGTGGGCCCAGGGCTGGGCCTCACAGCTCTGTCTGCCTAGCCTCTGGGTGGCTCGGCCTTCTAGGCCTTTTTGGATCTCCTTGCATTGCAGAAGTGCTTGGCATTGTCTCCTGGCTGGTGAAACCCGACGAGGTCCCTGTGGGCGTCAGGAGCTCCATAGCTGCCCCAGAGCTGTGCCCCTCCCTCCATCTCTGTGTTTGCATGCAGTGTGTTCTGCCTTCCTGTTTCTTCCAGAAGACACCCACTGCTGGACCTGCACGTGGAGCTCAATCGCAGAGTGTACGACTGGAACAGCACGGTTCCCCCCTGGCAGAGGTACAGCCTCGCCCTGAAGCACACGCTGAGGAAGACCCTCATCCTGGCATCTACCTGATGCCCAGGCCTGTTCTGGCTACGCTGTTCCATGTCCAGAGGAGCAGTTCAGAGTGCAAGACAGCATGGCGTGAAGTGCAGAGCCCGAGCGGGGTTCACAGGCCGCCAGGAACTGGACTTGAATCTGGGCCAGCACCGGTTCCTCTGTCAGGAAGCTATTGCCTCTGCAGCTGAAATACCCAGAGGAGGGGAGAGGGGACAGAGACAGAAAGGAGAAGAGATGGGGAGGAATGGAGAAGGGCTGGGGAGGAGAGGACAGGAGAGGAGAGGACAGGAGAGGAGAGGAGAGGACAGGAGAGGACAGGAGAGAAGAGAATAGGAGAGGAGAGGACAGGAGAGGAGAGGAGAGGAGAGGAGAGGGGATAGCTGGGTTGTTGATCACTATCGTTATTTGTTTCTTTCCTGTCTCCCCAAAGCCAGTCTCCTCGTCCCTGAGGCCTGAGTGTGTTTGCCGACCACACAGAGGCCCAAGAGGGCAGTGTGCAATGCAGCCCCGAGAGACCTGGCCCGCCCCATGCCTGCTGCCCTGGGCTCTGCTCCGGGACTCCAGCACCTTATGCTGCTGGAGTTCATCAGGGCAGGCGCCGCAGTCTCCAGACCCCCCGGCCATGCTGTGGGTGCTTGGGGAGAGGCCACTCTGGCCTGCTCAGCCATCTGTGCAGGGCCGCTGCAGGAGTTGGCAGTACAGCCTCTGACACCTTCCCCTGACCTGCTCCCCTCGAGGGTTGCCAGGGGATGAGGGTATCCAGCCTGACTCAGCCTCACCCTGGGGTCTCCCCGCTGGGAGCAGCTCCCTCCTCCAAGATGCCAAACCTCCTTTGGTCTCACCTGCTGGTCGGCTCTATTTTGTTTTACAGCATAACTGGTAAACTTTCCTCTTTTGTGGAGTACTAGGGATTGAACCTACACTTTCACACTGAGTTAAACCCACAGTCCTTTTTTATTTTTCATTTTCAGACAGTCTCACTAAGTTCCCAGGTTGGGATGGAACAAGCAATCCTCCTGCCTCCAGCCTCCCAGGTGCTGGGATTATAGGTGTGTGCCACACACCCACCTAAAACATAATAGACTGAAACAGAAAAGAGAAGACTACACTAAATAATTCAAACTTTTTCACAGTCTGAAACTGATATTTAGCCCTGATAAAAGGAACACAGTAATGACAAGATAATTGCTGGTTAGAAATTGTAGCCATTCAGATTATACAAACAAGGTTCTTTTCCCATCCTGATGACTGCAGTATGGATGTGATGGCTGGAGCTCTTGCTGCCATCTTGAGCTGTGAAGATAAGGTAGTGCTGTAGAGGCAGCTGCATCCTGGGGAGGAGAATGCTTCTTAGCTGAGGGTCAGATCACCACACTGCAGGCTGCATGCTCGGGGCTTGCGTGTGGGAGGGCACCATTTCTCTGAGCACCATTGGTCCTACTGGTGCACTGTTATTTGGTTAAAGTGTATATGGAATATTTGTGCATATTATATGCTCACAAGAAATGTTTCTATAGATAACTATTTTATTTCTAACTAATCTTTAAAATGCACACAAGCAGAAGTCTGAGCTGCACAGGTACTCGAGCCCCTGTAAGTGTGGGATCTTGGGGTTCCTGGATGGATTTCCCGCCAATGCCAAGGGCCAACTCTGCTGAGCCAACACCACCAACCCCAGCGCTGGTGAAGAGCAGAGTATGGGTCTCAACTAACCCTGCTTTTCAGAAGTTTAATTAATGAAGCAGTTTAGGTGAATTTAGTGTCTGTCCCATGGCACCTGTATCTTCCCCCTAGGCTGGGGAGCGCTGCTGTGTGGAAGCTCAGTCGCTCGGAGCTCTGCCCCGCGTGGCCGCTGGAGGGCGCCCGCTGCCTTGGCACGTGGACAGCGGCAGGTTCTGCGCAGACAGCATCCTGCCTGCCTCTGACCCCTGTTGTCTGAGGAACTGTGTCTTTCCCGATTATGTTCACTTGGACTTTTATTTATTAATATTGTCACCAGAGTGTCAGTACTCGATATTTAATACTTTGCCATTGTGTAATTTTTAATAAAATTTGATGTGAAATATATTTTCCTAATATGGATGTCAATATGTTAGTAAGTCTGTTATTATATCAGTATTCAATAAGTTCATGTGAATAAGTAAATAAACGTTAGGGGAAAAGTGAGCCGGGTAGAGAGTTAGTGGTGTGGTCTGACGCATTTTTGACCTCTGCAGCTTTTGGTACATGGTATGTAGGCACCCCCTAGGGCAGGTGTGCCACTTACACCTTAATCCCAGCCAGAACTATGCCAGGCCAGTCATTTACTAATCACACGCACTCAATCCCAGCAACATGCACTTCATATTCAGCCACCTCTGAAAAAAGCCCTGTGAATGCGTGAGGCTTTGGAGGGACCTTAGACCGTAATAGCATGGGGTCCAGGGTTGGGCCTCTGGAGTACATGCAGGAGTTTCCTGTCTTCCCCGGTGGTTCTCAGGTCCCCCAGACTTAACTGTTACACATATTTTCCTGTATCAAGGATGTTTCATAGGATTTTCTAACTTTGTATTTCTGTTACTTCATTAGTTGGGATTCAATTTATCTCTTTTGTTTTCTTTTTTTTTTTTTCTTATACCTGCCTGTCTCACCCCCACCATTTTTCTTGTGCATTTGTATTATAATTCCCAGTTTTCCCCCAGCATACACTATATTACTACTGTCCTTTTTCCTGGGTTAGTGAAATAACAAAAATCTTCTGAAATAAGACATATGTGTTAGTATATAGTTATAGAGGCTGGGTGTGGCTGTCCCCCTCAGGCAGCAGCCAGGGTCGCCGCAGGGATCACCTCCTGCTGAGACTCAAACCTCATTTTACTGTTTTAATTCTTACTTTGTGAGCAGACACGTTGGCAGTATATATGATTACATTCGTTGTAGGGAGTACACACAACACGTCTTAACCCTTTTTTACATTGCTTTCTGTTTTGTCCATTTTAAAACTTGTTTGCTGTTTTATTGACGAGTTTTAACAATTCTTTGTGTATTTTAGGTACAAATCTTTTATAGCTATTTATCTTGCAGCTCTTTCCCCACTGTGTGTTTAGTCTTTTCATTCTCTTAATACTGCCTTTTGACAGATGTTTTTAATTTTAGTGAAGACTAGTTTATTATTTCTCTTGTGGATTACACTTTTGGCATTTTATTTAAGAAATCATTATCAAACCTGAGATAATCTAGGTTTTCTCCTTTGCTATCTCATAGAAATTGTAGAGTTTTAAATTTACACTTACACCTATGATCCATTTTAAGTTGTGTTTTTGGTGAAAAGTATAAGGTCTGTGACGGTGCTGAATTTTTATTTCTCTACTCTCCCAGAACATTTTTTTGAAGTGGCCATGTTCTCCATTGAATTCCCTCTGTTTTTTCATCAAGCATCACTTGATTGAATTTTTTTCTTTTTTTTTTGGTGCCAGGGATCAAACTTAGGACCTCACGCTTACCAGGCAGGCGCTTAAGCCACTGAGCTAAATCCCCAGCCCCCTCTTGATTAAATTTCTATGGGTCTACTTCTGGGCTCTTCCTGGTATTCTGCTGATCAATTAATCTCTTCTGTCTCCAACACCATGTACTCCTGACCAGTGTGACTTTGTATTAAGTCTTGCTGCACACCATGTTAGAAGAATGTGAAGAATTTTGGCAGTACTGTTTCTTTTTAAAGGGTATATGTTATATTTTTACAACTACCTATTGGTAAAAAACTATCTATTGTTAAAAAAAATCTAGTTTTATATATATATATATATATATAAATTATTTTAAAACACAAATGGGGACCAGGGATATAACTCAGCAGCACAGCACCTGTCTGGCAAACACAAGGTCCTGAGTTTGAGTCCTGATTCACCCCCAGTGGCATGCTAGTATAGTGTTGTTTTCTTTCTTTTTACTCGTGTGGTCCTGTCTATATACATCTTTGTATGACGTTGAAATCATTCTCATCTTTTCATTAAATGGTGGTGCAAAAGCCACCATTTCCTTTTTGGGTTTTTTCTTGGTTTTTGAGACAGGGTCTCACTTTGTGGTGCAGGCTGGTCTTGAATTTATGGCAGTCCTCCTGCCTCAGCCTCCCAAGTGCTGGGATCACAGGTATGTGCCTCCACATTTGGTCATTTCCTTCTTATGAGGAGACAACTTCCTGCCTCACAGGGAGGGTTTCTATCCCTTTCTAACCTGCCTACTAGAGTGGAATAACTTTCTTGCATGACAGGGCATTCGACTTTTGTAGCACTGGTTTTTCCCTTTCTCTTTGATCCTTTAGGCTAAAAACAAGCTCCGCCTCCCACATGAAATAAACTCGTCCTCAAGCCACCATTCTACAGGAATTTCAGACTGTGTTTCTCTACCTCCTCCTTCCCATTTACTAGTCCACCATCTGCATATTGCCTTCCCATTCCTCCAGATCTTCAAGATCAGGGCTCATGCTGACTTTAGTTGCTGAGCCAGGGTCCTTGGATTCTGCGGAGACACTGAACCCTCTCTCCCTCTCTGGGGTATTCTGCTACAGAAGTTCCACTAAGAACACCACCCTCAATTTTGTCACCCTATCCAGTTAGCGTCTAAATCTGCGGTCCTGTATCTACTGTCTGTCCACACTGCATCTCCTCTGCCTCTGTCACCTTCCACTGACCTGTGACAGTGGCCTCACGCTGTCTTGCCTCAACCTCTCCCAACATTTCTCAGCTCACATGGCAACCCAAGAGTCCTCAGACAGCTTGGTCACTCCTTAGAATCCTTCCACTTTCTCCAGCACGTAGCCCAAAGCTTGCAGTTTGACTGCACACACAAAGCGTTTCTTTCTCAAGTCTGTAGCTTCATTTCAGCTTCTTCAGGATTTCCCTCCAAATGGTGTGGGCTCAGTCATGTATAGCTCAGCTGCTGACTTGCTGCATCTGGCACAGCTCTTGAAACTCCAACAGGGGGACAGTGGAGGATGAAGAAATGGAGACCAGGGCTGGGGATTTAGCTCAGCAGCATAAATGCCTGCCTTGCAAGCAGGCAGTCGTGAGTTCAATCCCTGGTACCGATAAAAAAAGAAAAAGACAAAAAAAAAAAGAAATGGAGACCAGAGTCAGCGGGCAGGAAGCTGAGGTCAGTGGAGCCTCCTCTCCTCTCCTGGTGGGAGAAGGAACCACCCGGTGACTGCAACGTGTTTTTTTGTACCCACTGGAGGCTGCTGTCAGCTGAAATCCCTCTGCCTAACAGCCTGTTTGCCTGGCTCGCCTCGGGCGCTCCGTGTATCCTTGCAGCTGGAGCACCTTGTTCCCGTGGCTCGCCTCGGGCGCTCTGTATCCTCGGGGCTGCCTTGCTTGGCCCCGCGTGTGTGATCCATCTCCAGCTTCGGGTGCTCCTCACACTGACTCAGGGTCCTGGTCCTGGTCCTCGTATGTTCCTGGACCACCCTGAACTGCACTTTGCCACTTGACCCCAGAATAAAAACATCCTGCAGAGTCTGGTTCAAATGCTACCTCCCTCCATTCCCCATGAAGTCCCTTATCACTTCAGTTGCAATTACTGCCCCCTCTCCTGAATAGATTTCATGGTTCATGCAGATCTCTTCCATGGAAGGTGACCGGTTCATGGCAGACCCAGCTGACTGCCTCTGGGCAGTGGGGCTGGTTAGAGCCGGGTGAGTGGAGGCGAGGCATGGCCTTGAAGGACGGATGTGGCTCTCTCCCGAGCTCCTCCCTCCGTGTGCTCTGCTTCCTGGCCCCTAGACCTGAGCACCAGTCCTCCCCGAGGCCCCTCTACCTTGGAGCCAGCTGAAACCTCTAAAATCATGGGCCCAAATAAACCGCTCCTCTGTTAAATCCAGTGTTCTGTCCCAGTGAGGAGAAAGAGACCAAGATCATCTTTTTTCTGCTCTGTATCTCCTGCAGTCATTTGATAGGCCTGCTGCAGTGGAGTGCAGTTTTATTTCTGTGCCTCCCTAGGCCCTCCCCAAGGTAAAGCTCAGCACAAGTAAATCCTAGTTGTGATCTGCACTTCCACGACGACTAACAATACTAAATGAACATCTTTTCAGGTACCTGTTGGCCATTTGTGCATCTTCTTTGGACAAATAAATTTTTAGCCATGCATAGTGGTACACACTTATAACCCCAGCACTCTGGAGGCTGAGGCAAGAGGTTTTCTACATATCGAGTTAGAGGTTAACCTGCACTACAGAGTGACAGACTTCTGAAAGGAAAAAAGTACCCAACCAGCCAACTAAACAAACCCCCTCCCCTTTTTTTGTCTTTTTCCTTTTTATTGGTACCGGGGATCGAACTCACGGCTGCCTGCTTACAAGGGGGGTGCTTATGCTGCTGAGCTAAATTCCCAGCCCCTCAAAAACCCTTTTAAAATCCTTTCTCATTTATGCATGGAGTTTGTGTTTTGTATTGCTGAGTTGTAAGTATTCATTTTGTGTTTGGGACACTAGTCTCTTAACAGATACAAGATTAGCATGTGTCTCGGCTGTTTTGTGCTATGTGTTTACTTCTGGACTGGTGTCCCTGACAGCAGCAAAGTCTCAGACTGATCGGCCATTCTTTCTAGGGTGCTGATGTGCCTTTTGTGTCCCACCTAACCCAAGGTAGTGAAGTAGCGCACCTCCTATATTTTCTTCTGAGAGTTTTTTTTTAAATCGGTACCAGGGACGAACTCACCACCGCCTGCTTGCAAGGCAGGTGTTATGCCGCTGAGCTAAATCCCCAGCCCCCTCTTCTGAGAGTTTTGCAGTTTCAGCTCTCTGATCCAGTTTGAGTTTTTATTAAGTGTGATGCCTGTCTTGTTGTTCTATATGCAAATATCCACTTGTCCCACTTACTGAAAAGACTATTTTCCTCATGAATCACCTGGTCACCGGCGTCACACGTTACCTGGCCATGAGTGGAAGAGCTGAGTCCTCCGCTTAGTTCTGTTGTAGGTCCCACTCGTGTCTTCGCATCCTCACAGCACACTGTCCAGCTCATCGTAACTTTGTCATAAGTTTTGAAATTTGGAACTTTGTCCCTCTTTTCAGTGTTTTGAATACACTGATTTACATTTCCACATAACGTTCAGGGTCAGCTGGCAGCTCATGTGACATTTCCATGGGGACCATTTCGAGACGTGTTGTCTCTTTACTCCTTTTTTGCATACGCTGATACCAGCGACATTTCTCATCATTTGTTGCATTGAAGATTTTTGTAGAGAAGCCTCTTTTGAAAATTATCAAAACAAATAAAAAGCAGCTTCCCCCACGTTTTTTTCTAGAAACAATAAATTAATCTCTAAGTAGAAGGTTAGTTTTATTTATTGATTTTTAAAAAAAATTTTAGCAGCAATCTACTTAGTTGGTTGTCCGAGTTCTTCCTAACATAACACTTGGGGAATCCTGTCTTATGAAATTTTGAGGTTTTGACACTCCAGAATTTCTCCACTGCTTCTGTGTTTGGTCCCACAGTGCATATAAAATAGGTTGTATTTCCCTGCTCTGTCTACAATCTCCTGGCAGCTCACCATGCTGGTGTCTCGGTCACAAAGTCCCCCACCAGAGCTTAGCCTCTCTGGACTGCCGTGCCACACAGGAGCAGTCAGGGTTGGTCTGGGATGAAGGGTATGCAGTGATTCGAGGTGTATGCGAGTGTGTGTGTGAGTATGGTGTGCAAGCATGTATGCATGAGATGGCCTTAGGAGCCAGAGTAGTGAATCAATAACCTGGTCACTGTGGGGCCCTCTGAGGACCCTTGCAGGGTGCGGTGGACGTCCCAGCACCTCAGGCTTCTTTAGAAGGCCCTCATGCCCATACCCTGTGCTCATAGCTGCCTGAGGGAACACGAAGCAGTAGCCTAACACTCGCCCTTTTCCAGGCTGCCCAGTGACTGAGCAGAGAGTGCAGAACTTGGACCAGGGTCTAGGTGGAGAGGAAAACCAACTCCACCCCCTGTTCCCACCTCCCAGAGTGGAAACAAACACGGGCAGGAACTTTCCCCTGCACTTGAAAGGGCTCTGAGGTGTGATTGGTCCTTCAAGTGGCACTGGGCCAGGAAGGAGGCCCAGGACCAGCATTTGCTTCAGCTCAGGAACTGTGCAGTTAACACAGCACGCTGGAGGCACAGACTGCAGCCCTCCAGCTGTGAGGCGCTTCTCTTCGAGGCATGGTCCATATCTGTCCTCTAGTGGAGGGGCGCCAGGCTGAGAGCTGCTTCCCTGGAGACTGCTCTGCCCCACGGCCCCCCATTCCCCTTCCCTGGAGCTCCTGTGGCACTGAGGACAGATTCCCAAGGTCCTGGGGTCAGAGAGACCTGGGCTTGGGCCCTGGGTGCCCAGCTCTCCCTGGCTTCAGGATGGCAATGGACACTGTGCTTCACGGAGCCTCGGTCAGTTTCCTCTGTCAATGGATTCGGATAGCAGTGTGGCCGGGGCCCTGACGCCTTTAGGTGCTGTCCTCACACTGCAGAGTATGCTAAGTAACATCGAATCTGGCACGGTCCAAGGCAGAACACTGAGCTGCCCATTCGAGAGCTGTGAAGCACAGCCCTAGGTGGCACTCTGCTTTCCTGCTGTGCCCAGTTTAGCCCTGCACCTATAGGAAATGCTTCCTATGATCATGGAACAAAAGTTGAGTTCCTGCCCCTTGAACAGGGTGAAGGGAAGTGGTAGTTTCACAAGACTGCCCCCAAGCGGCCTGACGAGTGAATATTTGCAATTGAATGGATTAGAACAATAGGTAGCGCTTGTTTTTTGTTTTTCTTGTCGCTTTGAGACAGGGTTTTGCTGTGCAGTTCAGTTTAGCCTCCTGAGTACTGGGATTACAGACATGCACCACCATGCCCAGCTTTGCATCTTGATCTTTTAGAAACCCTAAGCCAATCCACTGCGGCACACTGCTGTGGGATAAGCCCTGCACATGGAGGCACAGACTGGCCTTCTGCGTGTGTCTGAGTCCTCAAGCACGAAGCCCTCTCCTTTCCCAGCAGCACAGAAGGCCAGGGACCAAGTGACAGAGCCTTTCTGTGCTGTGGATTTGACCTGCCAAAAACAGGGCTCACAGTAGTATTATTTTTCTTACAGGGCTGTTTGGGTGATCCAGTGAGTACATGTTTGTACAAATCCTGACTGCTTGTACTAGGTGCAGTGTGGCTGTTTGGGAGTGTTTCGTGGCTTTGTCATTTGCAGGTGTCTTCACAGCCTATTTCCTGCCAGCCTGACCACACTGTGGGTGGACAGTTTTAAACATTGGTCACTTTGGGCTGAACCCCCAGATGGGCTGTCTTCCACTGTCCCTTGTTTGGCTTTTACCTATTTTGTTTGTATGTGGACGTAATTAAAATGTTCACATGCACATGAGCAGACCTAAGAAGAAGGAAGGCGCCAGCTGTTCTGGGAGCCGTCTGGTTCCCGCGCTCGGCGAGAGCGAGCAGAGGACGCACAGGTCACCCTTTCCTCTTTGGGTGCTGAGACCCGAGGGAGGAGCTGGGCCCCCTGGGCCTCTGGTGTACCCCTCTCTGGTTCTGGGGTCCGCAGGAGAGAGAGGAGCACCTCTGCCTTTAGGGGACGCTGCTTGCTTGCCGGGATGCTTAACCCCGGGAAAGCCTGGGGCCGGCGGACAGCTGCGGTGACATCAGCAGGAAGCGAGGATCGAGTTACTCAGCCCGGGGTTCCAGTTTCCAGTTTCCAGTTGTTTCCAGCGCAGCAAGTCGGGAGTCGGGAGTTTTCTTCCCGCGCAAACGGAAGCTGCCCGCGAGGACTCCGATCCGGAGCTTGCTTTGCTGCAGGCGCTTTTCCTGCGGCCCACCCGGGCGGGCGGCGGGGCGCGGAGGGAAGGTAGGTGAGCCGCCGGCCGCCCCCCTGGCCCGGCCGCTCCTTCGCCGGCAGCCGGGGGCGCGGGGGGCGCGGGGGGCGCGGGGGCGCGGGGGGCGCGGGGGCGCGGGGGCGCGGGGGGCGCGGGGGCGCGCCCTGTCCGTGCGGCGTCGGCTCTGCCGGGGTTCTTTGCGGTGCCAAAGAAAATGAAAGTTGAAAGCCAGGAAGGCTCCACACAGCCCTTTACCCCGGCTCGGCTCGAGGTGGGGCATCGCGTGGGCTCAGGAATTTGAGAGCCATCTGTCAACGCGGTGAGACCCCATCCGAAAAGGAGAAGACAGAAAGAGAAGCTGCCAGACGTCAAGACCAGGTGATTTATCCAAGCTGGAGGTCAGAATCTCCTGGACACCCCAAAGCCGATGATGTTTTAGACGAAGCTGTGACAAGAGCAGAGGCCCTGGACCTGGGGCTCCGGAGAGGAGGCCCCGGGACGGGACAGGACGGCTTCAGAGGGCAGCTTTGCCGCCCGTCCCTTCCTCCCCGCTCCTCTCCTTCATCCCTGTCCCTTCCTCTCCTCTGTCTCCCCTTCCCCCTCTCCTCTCCCCTTTCCTTCTGGCTTTCTTTCTCCTCACTGTGCTGCTGGGCTGGTCTTGAACTCCTGCAGGCGTTGGCGCCTGTGCCCTGTGTCTCCCCAGTGCTGGACAGGCTGCTGTGCCTGGGGCTTCTCCCAACACCAGGTCATACGTCTTCACTGCATAAAGCTAAAGAAACTCAGACAGGATCACAGGAGAGGACTTACATTATCTTATCTACCACTGTTCCACTCTTTACTATTTGTTTTTTTTTTTTTGCTCTGTATTCATTCCTTAAAAATATATATGCTCTCGTTTCTCTCAACAGTCACATTCCACATAAGTATACACCAAGCTGCTCCAGAGCACTGCTTCTCTGGTTAGGATGAAGGATTCATAGTCTACGTTGGTTTACGAGATTCATGACTTCCTAGGCTGACTTGAGCATGTTCTAGCTAGAAATGTCCTGTGGGCTGGGGTCCAGGGTTGTGGCTTCTGGGCCTGTGAGACAGAGGCTGGCTGCTCAGGTCCATAGCCTGGGACAAGGGGTCACCCCTTGAGACAGTGCTCAGATGGTTGCTCCTTCTGAAGTGGTTTCCACAGCTTCAAGTCTAGGAGACCACGTGCTACTCAGCCACTCAGTGGAAACGGGTTTGGGTATAAGAGCTCTTAAGCAGTCCCCAGGTCAGAGAGATGGCGCTGTGTCCTCTCCACTCCTGGCCTTTCCACTCGGAGAACCAGGATAAACTGAGTCCCAGCAAAAACTCCCTTCAAATCCCCATATGGAAGGTGACTTCCATTTGTTGGGGTGAAATTCTGCAGGCCATCAGATTTTGTGGTGGGGTTATAGTGACTTTTATTTTTTTGTAGGTATCTGTGGAGCCCAGAACTGGGCCAAGGAAACGTATAGGAACTCAGCAAGCTGGGAGTTATCATTCCCCAGTACTGGCCCCACCTCCGTCCTTTGAGCTCAGGTTGGCCATGGCCTTGAAACGTCAAAGTCTGGGCTCCAGTCCAGAAGAGCAAAGCGGCATGCACTTTCAGGAGATGCTTCTGAACATCGACTCGAACCTGACGGCGCAGGACGTGGAGGGCCTAAAGTTCCTCTGCACCGGCCTGGTCTTCGAGAAGCGGCTGGAGAGCTGCAGCTCGGCGTTAGATCTGTTCGACCTCCTCCTGGTGCAGGAGCTGTTCAGGGAGGATGACCCCTTCTTCCTGGCTGAGCTTCTGTATGTCATCAAGCAGCACGCGCTGCTGTCGCGCTTGGGGTACACCAGGGAGTCGGTGGAGCAGCAGCTGCCAGCCCGCGGGAGGCTGTCCCTGTTCAGGTGAGGAGATTGCAGTGCTTTGAAACGAAGCAGGAAGTCAAATCTTTTCCTCCTCTCCCTCTTTGGAGGAAAACCCAAGAGATTCTAAGTCGGGAGACCCCTGGGTTTCACCTGCTGGGGAGCCCAACAGTGGGGTCAGCTGACTCTAGACCCAGGCTGACTTGGACCAGCTTCCCTGTGCTTGGCTTGTGTCCCAAACGCCCACCCTCTGCCTCTGCATCTGACCCCTCTTCCTCGGAGACCCCAGAGCGCCCGAAGGAGGGCTAATGGAAACTTGGAATCCCATCAGCGAAGAGAAAAGTGTTGTGTGCCTCCGGGAAGGGAGCGCCATCATTCACTCCTGTCCGGTTAATGTTCTCCTGTGGGTTTGGGTGGAAATGCAGAAAAGTAAAATGTAACATAGGAGTTTTGCTCACAAGGTCACTCTGTGGGCATCGAGCTCTTCTGGGCCACATCCACTGACCTGCATCTCCACCGGAGAGCCACACCATGGGGTGCTTTGTGGCCTTGACATTCAAAGGCACAGGGTGAATTCCAGGAGGCCTCAAGTCACCTGGCATGCGGGTGTGATGTGCTGCGGGCGACACACTGGTCTCCTGGGCCTGGATGGGCCTGGCTGGGGCTGTGCCTTGCTTTCCCTGGTGAGAGTGGGTGACCCTCGGCAGGAGCCGCAAGAGAACCCTAGTTTCTTAACGGGGTCAGGAGAGGGGCAGGCACACAGGGACCGTGTTCCATGTCTTTCTGGTATAGAACAGTGCTAGCACTAGGCTCAGAGCCTGCTGTGTTATCCTAATTGAAGCAGACCGCTGACCTAGAAGTTAGGCATCTGTTTTGCATCTGTAAGGTGAGGTTCAAGGTTCTCCACTCCTGGTGTGCATTCTCTGAACGGCAGTCCTGGGTGTGGAAACCCAGACTTGCTATGTGAAGCTTCATTGTCATTTTGGATATGTGTCTTAGAAAACTGCTCTACGAGTTGTCAGAAGCTATCAGCACGAAGGAGCTGAAGGAGCTGACCTTCCTTCTGCGGAACCAGATTCCCAAAGCCCAGATGGTGAGTGGGTTGCAGAGGGCTGAGCCAGCGTGGCCTGTCCGTGGCAGTGGTCAGGAGACCTGGGCTCATGTTCTGCAGGGCAGTGGCCTCAGCATGGGGTCAGGGGTACCTGGATGCCAGTCTTGGTTCTGCTCCTGACCCTGTGTATGGGTGGGCGAGCCGGTGTGCCTGAGTCTGTTTGCCTCTGTGTCTGTGTGTGGATAAGAGCAGCTTCCCCCTTCATTTTCAGGACTTCAGCTCTCTGTCTGCTTTGTGCTGTGCAGCAGCTATTTAATTTGATGTGATGTCACTCATGATTATTGGTGTTATTTCTTGTATAATTGGGGTTCTGTGCCATCAAGAGCTCACCGCTTGTTACAGATTATGTCTTGATGTCAGATACTCATAAGCTGGGCTTTTGGAAAAGGACTGGATCATCGAAGTGATGCATCTGACTTGCTGTTAAAGGTGGTCCTGCTTGGAAGAGTCAGCTCATGCAGCAGGACCTAGAATGGTTTATCTCCTTCCCTTCTCCTTCTGCTTCCTGGGTGGCATGACCTGAGCTGATTTCCTTCACTATTAGGGTTTTACTAGAGAAAATATATAACATGAGATCCACAAATGTATAAGAAATGACAAGATTGGCTTACGATGGTCAGCCACGGAGTTGGGTGAGGAAGCATGCAGAGGGTGTTTGCACCCTGGAGGCATAGAAGAAGGATTCAATCCAAGGTTTGGAGTTCACTTTAGTGTCTCACGCAAGTCCACACCAGCAGGCTGATGGGTCTGCGACAGAAGGCCGAAGGCTCTGTGAGGAAAAGCTGCAGAGCCTACACTGGAAGCCAGGAGACGATGTCCGAGCCAAAGGTGAAGACTGGAGCTTCTCCCAAGAATGGGATGCATTCATCCTTCCTCCTTCCCTTTATACCTCTAGGTGATGAGCCACCCAGGGTGGGTCTTCTTCTACACCCTTGGGTGTAGAGTTCTAAGCCCATTTAGTTAAGCCTCTAAGTGTCTCAAATTGACCCAATCAATCAACCACTGCACTGTGTTCTTCCATGTGCTGCTTCTGCCATGGAGCCACCAGCAGAGCACAGACTGAAACCATGGACCAAAATAAGTCTCTCCTCATTTACACTGCAGGTGTCCAGTAGTGTGTCTCAGCAATGAAAAGTGATTAGGACAGTCTTGCAGCAGACTTAGTGTTTCATATATATATAAATATCTGTGTGTGAGTGTGTGTGTGTGAACCATGTTGATTTCATTTTGGTACATAGTGAGAGATTCAAGTCTCCATTCATTTGTCTGCATGTGGGCAACCAGTTTGCCCAGCACCATTTGTTAAGGAGACTTTCTTTCCTCCAGTGTATGTTTTTAGTCCGTTTGTTGCAGATCAGTTGGCTGAATGTGCTTCGGATTGTTTCTGCTTCTCTGTTCTTTTCCCTTGACCTTCATGTCTGTTTTCGTGCCAGTACCTTGCTGTTTTTATCACTGTGGCTTTGTAATATAACCTGAAATCTGGGACTGTGTTGCCTCCTGTTTTGTTCTTGTTGCTCAGGATTAGTTTTGCTGTCCTGAATCTCTTTTGGTTTCATATAAATGTTAGGATTTTTTTTGTGTGCATTCCAGGAAGAATGATATTTTGATGTGGATTGCATTCAATCAACATACCATTTTTGTTCATTTGGGCAACATTGGTTCTGCCTATCCAGATATAGGATGTCCTCTGATTTCTTTGTTTAAAGAATACTATAATTTTCATGATAGAAGTCTTTTACTTTCTTAGGTTAATTAATAGATATTTTCTTTTTTGAAGCTACTGTGAATGAATCTGTTTTCTTGATTTCCTTCTCAGTGGGTTCGCTGTTGATGTACAGGGATGCTGTTGACTTTTATGGGTTGCTTTTCCCCTTCGCTCGTTTCTTTACTGATTGCTCAGACTAAAGTTTCAAGTACTATGTTAAGAGATGTGATGAGAGTTGACATCCTGGCCGGGTGTGGTGGTGTACACCTGTAATACCAGCATTTGGGAAACTGAGACAGGAGGATCACCACAAATGCAAGGTCAGCCTGGCCTACGTAATGAGTTCAAGGCCAGTGAGAACAACATAGCAAGACCCTGTCTCTAGAAAACAAAACAAAACAAGGACTTGACATCATTTTCCTGTTCCTTATTCTTGAATTGTCTTAACTCAATTAGTTTATTGTTTTTCTTTACACTCCTTAAAATTTTATTAGTAAAAATACTTTATCTTTTTAATAAGCTCACTAAACAGCTTACTAATTTATTTTAATTTTATTTTATTTTTAAGAGGGTAAAACTAAACATAACAAAACAGAACAAAGCAGATCGGAAGAAAACAATGTAAGTAATACAGATTTTAAAGCAAGACAACAGGAGATCTACAGCGGTTACCATAATGTCTCTTGTTTTTTCTAAATAGTTGTCCGTATCTTCACTCACAATGAATAGACACAAAACAAAATAGTATTAAACTGATCAGAACAGAGTGATGAAGGCATTACAGGCCTTCAAAACCAGACAACAGAGAAGTCAACAATGGCTGCCATAATGTCTCTTGTTCTCTTCAAAATAGCTGTCTATGCCTTCATGTATGTTGAAATTAAACAATACAAAACAGACTAAAATGACTCTGAACAAAGAATAATATTATTACTGTGTTTCACAGCATGATGATACGGTATCAGCAATGGATATCATAATGTCTGTTTTTCTTCAAGGTAGCCGATTCTCGTAAACTGTTTAGGCAAAATAGTACACATGAATAAGCCTCTACATGTATACTTATCCTTTCTGTATTAGAGGGAAAAACAAAACAAATTACTAGAAAAACACATTGGTCATTAGAGAAATGCAAATTAACACCACAGTACGAGTCTATCTCACTCCAGAAAGAATAGTCAGGATAAAGAAAACCACCAAGAACAAATGCTGGAGAGGCTATGGAGAAAAAGGAACTCTCCTGCACTGTTTGTGGAAGTGCAGATTGTGCAACCACTGTGGAGGTCAGGCTGGAGGTCCTGAAAACGCTGGGACTGGAAGCCCCCTTTGACCCAGCTATTCCACTTCTAGGCATATTCCCAGAAGAACTGAAGACATCATACCACAGTGATATATGCGCACCCATGTTTATAGCAGCATGATTTGTAATAGCTAGATCTTGGTTTGTTTGTTTGTTTGATTTTTTGAGACAGGGTCTCTCCGCAGTTCAGGCTGGCCTTGAGTTCACTTTGTAGCCTAGGCTGGTTTTGAGCTCACAACAATCCTCCTGCCTCAGCCTCCCAAGTGTTGGGATTACAGGTATGAACCACCACAGCATGCTAGTGGTATTTTGATTAGGATTGCATTAAATCTCCATAACAATTTTGGGAGAATGGCCATTTTCACAATATTTCTTCTTCCTATCCATGAACAAGGGATGTCTTTCCATTTTCTGAGGTGCTCTTTGATTTTTTTCAGAGTATTATAATTTTCCCTGAATAGATCTTATACTTCTTTTGTTAGTATTTCATTTTTTTGGATGCTATTGTGAAGGGTGTGGCTTCTCTCTCAGTGATTTTGTTGTTTGTGTATAGGAAAGCTATTGATTTTTGAGTGTTGAATTTGTATCCAGCTACATTACTGAATTTATTTATTATACCTGGGAGTCTTTCAATGGAGTTTTGGGGATCTTCTATGAGGAATATCATGTCATCTGCAAATAATGATAATTTAACTTCTTTTCCTATCCTTATACTATCTGGCTAGTATTTCCAGCACTATACTGAATAGGAGTAGTGATAATGGACATTCTTTTCTTGTTCCTGATTTTAGGGCAAAGGCTTTCAGTTTCTGGCCATTTAATATGATGCTGGCTGTTGGTTTGTCATAGATGGCTTTTATTAAATTGAGGTAAAGACCATCTATTTCAATTTTCTGGAAGGTTCTTATCATTAATAAGTATTAGACCTTATCAAAAGCTTTTTCTGCATCTATAGAAATGATCATGTGATTCTTACGTTTTGGCTCCATTGATATGGTGGATTACATTTATTGATTTGTGTATGTTGAACCATCCTTGCATTCCTGGGATGAATCCCACTTGGTCGTGGTGTATAATCTTCTTGATGACTTGCTGCATTCTGTTTGCCAATATTTTGTTGAGAATTTTTGCATCTGTGTTCATTAGGGAGTTGGCCTGTAGTTCTCTTTTTTGGTTGGGTCTTTCTCTGGTTTTAGTATTAGAGTTATACTTGCTTCCAGGAATGAGGTAGGGAGAATTGCTTCCCTTTCAGTTTCATTGAAGAGTTTGAAGGTGTTGGCATTAAGTCTTTTTTGAATTGCTTATAGAATTGTGCAGTGAATCCGTCTGGACCTGGGCTTTTCTTTATTGGTAAGGATTTAATTGCATTTGCAATTTCATTAACTGAAATTGGGTTATTCAGCAGTTTTACATCTTTTTTTTTTTTTTTTTTTTTTTTATTGGTACCAGGGATTGAACTCACAACTGCACGCTTGCAAGGCAGGCGCTTATGCTGCTGAGCTAAATCCTCAGCCCCAAATTTTTCATCTTCTTGATCCAGCTTTGGTAATTCATAAGTTTCTAGGAATCTGTCCATTTCTTCTGTGTTATCAAGCCTATGAAAGTAGAGGTTTTTGAAGTAGGTATTGACGATCTTCATTATTTCCACAGTGTAGTGATTTCACCCTTTCATTCCTTATTGCATGAATTAGAGTTTTTTCTTTCCTTTTTAAAATGAGGTTGGTTAGGGGCTTATCAATTTTATTTATTCTTTCAAAGAACCAACTCTCTGATTGATTGATTCTTTGTATTGTTTTCTTAGTCTCTACTGCATTGATTTCTGCTCTGATCTTTATAATTTCCTCCCTTCTTTTGGCTTTGGGCTTGAATTGCTCTTCTTTTTCTAGATGTTTGAGGTGTAGCATCAGGTTGTTTATTTGTGTTCATTCTGTTTTTCTGATGTGAGAATTCATCACAATAAATTTTCCTCTGAGGGCT